TGCCTGAAATGAAAGTGCACAGACTTGAAACTTCAGAGACTGGATCTCACCCCGGTATGACATCCTCCATACAGTCCAGATTTAGCACCACCTGACTTCCATCTGTTCCCGATAATGAAAGAAGATCTGCGGGGACATCATGATGCTTCTGATGAAGATGTTGAGAGAACTGTGAGATGCTGGTTGCGGAAACAGAGTGTCGACTTCTTCCGCGATGGCTTCAGAAAACTTGTTCATTGTTGGCAGAAATGCATCCAATTGTCTTGTGATTATGTGGAAAACTGAATAGTGGTAGTTAAAGAGCACATTCTCAGGATTATTTCTGAGTTTGATTTATTAAAATATTCCTTTCCAAACCCAAGTAACGAAGGTGGAGGCATTACTTTTCATTCAACCCTCGTAAAGTGAGCAAACATCGTTGACATACTTTATTTCTTAGATGTTATCTGATTCATATGCTATATCCAATCTCTTTCATTTTTGTGTTGATTATCTGTCCTGTAAACAATGAGGATTTAGAAAACAAGACAAGAATGTGACGAAGAGAGGAGGACAAGAGCTTCATCGTACCTGGCTGACCATCATGGGTCCAATGACATTCGTCTCGTATATTTCAGACATGGACTGTGGTGTCTCCTGGGTCACTGTCTTCAAAATGCCAGCATTGTTTACCAACAGGTTCAGTCCAGATCCTTTCAACAGCTTAGTCACTGTGGCTGCAGCAGCTTCAATACTGGATGGATCCGTGGTATCTATCACCAAAACAACATTTCAAAGCTTCGTAAGTGAGCAAAGATCACGTTTATTACAAAGCTCAAAAAGAAAAATCTTTGTGTCTTGTTTTTTATGCCTATTCCTAGGATTTTGGGGAATAACCCAAAAAATTGCATTAAACAGACCACATTACATCTAGTTTCTTAGACTGTGGCGCAGCTGGCTGGGAGTCAGTCGCATTGTGCCGTTACACCCAGACATTATAAAAATAAACTAAGATGTGCTGTTCTCTATGTCTGAGTGAACTGTGAATGTCTTTCTTTAGAAGTTGATCTTGGAGTCCTCATGGACAACAAGTAAAACGTGAGCCAACAATGTGATGTGCCGGCAAAAAAAGCCCATTGGGATTTTGGCCTGCATCAATAGGAGCCTAGTGTCTAGGTCCAGGGAAGTAATGCTCCCCATGCTCTATTCTGCTTGGTTAGACCACACCTGGAATATTGTGTCCAATTCTGGGCACCACAATTCAAGAGAGTATTGACAAGCTGGAATGTGTCCAGAGGAGGGCGACTAAAATGATCAAGGGTCTGGAGAACAAGCCCTATGAGGAGCGGCTTAAGGAGCTGGGCATGTTTAGCCTGAAGAAGAGAAGGCTGAGAGGAGATATGATAGCCATGTATAAATATGAGAGAGGAAGCCACAGGGAGGAGGGAGCAAGCTTGTTTTCTGCTTCCCTGGAGACTAGGACGAGAAACAATGGCTTCAAACGACAAGAGAGGAGATTCCATCTGAACATGAGGAAGAACTTCCTGACTGTGAGAGCTGTTCAGCAGTGGAACTCTCTGCCCCGGAGTGTGGTGAAGGCTCCTTCTTTGGAAGCTTTTAAACAGAGGCTGGATGGCCATCTGTCAGGGGTGATTCAAATGCGATGTTCCTGCTTCTTGGTAGAATGGGGTTGGACTGGATGACCCACCAGGTCTCTTCCAACTCTTTGATTCTATGATTGTAAGTAGGAAATTTGGGTACCGCTTATGGAGGGAGGCTAATTTATGATGCCATAAAAATCTCCAGCAAGCATGCAAAGGACGAGGAAGTACTTCATCATTGTCACTAATGGACGGTGAAGCAACAGCTCCCCTGGTGGCCAGAATACCCTCATGAAAGCTAGAATGTTAAATAGCCTCTGAGTGTCTGTCTATATATGTTGCGTGTCTATGGCATCGAATGTTTACCATGTATATGTGCATTGTAATCCACCCTGAGTCCCCTGTGGGGTGAGAAGGGCAGAATATAAATACTGTAAATAAATAGTTATTAGATTTTTCAAATTGGTACAATAAATTGGATTCAGACCTTCTCACTTATTTCTCCTGAAACTTAGAGGAAGTCTTCTTGTCATCAGAAGGGGTTTTGGGAAGGGGGGGGGTACACATACCTAGTTGGATGATCTTTACCTCCTGGTGCTTGGCAGCCAAATTCTTCAACTCCTGAAACATACCAAAGCCACTAGTTTGTCATATATTCTCCATTTCCTGGTATAAATTGAAGAGCGATTGAAAGGGAACACTGAGCTTAAGGTGTGTCTACCTTCCATTTTCAGCACAGACTGTAGTTGCTGCATTGTTGTTGGGTCTACAAATAGGTGTATTGAATATATGTTGTCAAAAAATTGACCCCCCTCTGGGAATGATCAACTATCTATATACATACTACATGCATATATATATATATATATATATATATATATATATATATATATATATATACACACATACATACATATATATATATACACACACACACACACCCACTAGCTGTACCCGCCACGCGTTGCTGTGGCCAACCTTCCCTCCCTCTTTTTCTCTTTCTTTTCTTTCTTTCTTTCTTTCTTTCTTTCTTTCTTTCTTTCTTTCTTTCTTTCTCTCTTTCTTCCTTCCCTCTTTTTCTTTCCCTTCTTCTTTCTTCCTTCTCTACCTGTTTCTTTTCTCGCTTCCTTTGCTCTTTGGTTCCATCCTTCCTTGTCTCTTTCCTTCCTTCCCTCCCTCTTCTCTCTTTCATTCCTTCTCTCCTTCCTTCCCTCTTTCCTTTTTTTCCTTCTCTCTTCCTTCTTTCTCTACCTTTCTTTCTCTCTCTTCCTTCTTTCCCTCTTTCTCTCACTCCTTCTCTCCTTCCTTCCTTCCCTTTCTGCATGTGTTTTGTGTGTGCATATATGTGTGATATATTTCTGTATATATTTGTGTATATATGTGTGTATATATGTGTATTTGTATACATACGTGGTTTTGTGCATGCGTTGTAATATATTTTTGGGGGTTTTTTTTGTTTGCTTTTTAAGTCTCTTCTGCTGTGTTTTTCAGTGTTTTATGAGTGACAGTCACTTGTTGGCCTGATAGGTGTTTTGTGTCCAAATTTGGTATCAATTCGTCCAGTGGTTTTTGAGTTTTGTTAATCCCACAAACGAACATTATACACACACACACACAAATACATACACATACACACAAACACCCACACAGGAAGGTCATGTTTCCAACAACCCAGCCAAGCCCAGGCATTACCTAGTTATTCATTGAGGATTAACTAGTTATTTGTTGAAATCAGAATGTCCTGGGTAGAACTGGAAGGGAAACCCAACACAATAGATCGATTTCAAATCCCCTGACAAAGGAGTTTCACTCCAAGCCTTGGAACAATATATATATATATCTCCCTTTAAATAAATGTCATGGTTTATTGTGTACATGTGCTTATAAACTAGTTGGGGCTCAGGTATATATGTTTATATATATGTATATATGTTTATACATATGTATATATGTGAGACGTGGACTGTCTACAGATGTCACATGCAACTCCTGGAATGATTCCATCAGCGCTGCCTCCTGAAAATCCTGCAAATTTCTTGGGAAGACAAGCAGACAAACGTCAGCGTGCTGGAAGAAGCAAAGACCACCAGCACTGAAGCGATGGTCCTCCGCTACCAACTCCTCTGGACCGGCCACGTTGTCCAGATGCCCGACAACCATCTCCTAAAGCAGTTGCTCTACTCCGAACTCAAGAACGGAAAACGGAATGTTGGTGGTCAGGAAAAGACATGTTGGAGGACACCGCCAATACAGCGATCTTGGAAGACAATCCTACTCAGACAACAAGGGATCGCCTAAGGAAGGATATGTTTTATATTAAAAGAAACTAAGAAGCGCTGAAATTGATATGTGCAGGTACGATCCAGCACATCTAGAGACATTTTAAAATGTAATATTATATATGTTCTTGTGGAACTCTTCCAACGTCTAGCTGTGAGGTGGGCTCACACAAAGGGACAATTCAAACAGGAATTGGCTCTCCCATTTGTTAAAGGGATTCAGAAGCTGAGAATAGTCAAACACAAAGAAGCACCGTGATGAATTGTATATGCCTTCCATTGAATTGCTTCTGTTTGCATAATCTCCTCATAGTCTTTGGTGCTTGCTCTTTTGTGACTCTTTGCATATTGCCTCAAACCATTTGCCAAGCCCAGCCCTTTCCTCCTGGGAAGACCCTCCAAACGATTCCAGCTCCAAATGGACAAATAACTGCGCTTCATTTTCCCACCACGAGGGAACCTCCGTCCACCTCAGACGTCACAGGGATTCCACAGCCAACAAGAACCCAGATCCAAGCTTGACCACATTTCAGCTCATCAGAGCAAGGACTTAGAATGGCTGTCAAATAGGATGAAATGCCTTGCGCTACCAGATTGAAACGCATGCTGGGTTTCAAGGCAACAGGAACAGAGGTTTATTGCTTTCAGGCCTGAAAGAATGTCTGTACAGAGTCTCCACTCAAAACCTATGTCCTAGTCCTTTTGAGTGGAGACTCTGTATCCGACATTCTTTCAGGCCTGAAAGTAATAAACCTCTGTTCCTGTTGCTTTGAAACCCAGCGTGCGTTTCAATCTGGTTTCAAAGTAGCAGGCATGCCAAGCAGCTTCTCCTCACCTTTGCTCCTCACCTCGCCTTTGGTGGGTTGCTGAATTTTGGCTTCCGATATCTCAACCTGCACCATACCTTAGCAAACATCCCTGCTCTGCGGCATCCTAAATAAGTATTTAATAATATTTAAGTAAATTCGACTGGCTGGGTGGGTGAGTGGCAGGAAAATGTTCTGCCCCTTTCCCACAAAGTGTGAGCTAGATGAAAACCAGATTCCTATTTGTTACAATACATTCTGAGACTCTGTTACCGCCGATTAGTTCATAATTCAACAAGGAACAAAGGTTTATTGTTTGATTATCAAAATACAGAGTGCAGCCCATAGCTGCACTCTGGTGAAGGAAAAGTACACTCTCCTCCCCACTGATAAGGAAATGGATTCATTTCATTCAAGGGCACAATCAATGGTTAACCGTTTTGTTGACATTCAGTGAACCCGCAATCTTGCAAACTGACTCAGCCTGGCACAACCTTTCACTGCACACTTTCCAGAGGTTGAAGGGCAAATGTCTTGGTTTGGCTTCTGTACAATGTGTGGCAACTCTCAGAAGGCCATCTAAGGCCCATATAATCCAGTTCAAAGCAGGATTTTTATGGCAGTGTAGACGGGGCCTAAGTCTATAGCTACTTAAACTTCACCTGCACCATTCTAGCCCTTAGATCAGTGTTTCTCAACCTGTGGGTTGGGACCCCAGGGGAGGGGTCACGAGGGGGTGTCTGTGGGGTTGCCAAAGACCATCAGAAAAGATAGTATTTTCTGTTGAGGCATCAGGTTAAATGTTTTTGAATATTTGCTGTATTTCAAAGGAAAACAGTAAGCTAGCTCTGCGAGTGGAAAAGGAGGGTCAACAAAAGCAATATGGTATCAACAATAACTTAATAATAATAATAATAATAATAATAATAATAATAAAAACTTCATTTGTATCCCACCCTTTCTCCCCATGGGGACTCAGGCCGGCTTCCAACGTAGTAACAGGCAAACAGTTAATGCCTATATGAGGGGGAAATTCATATATAAAAATAAAGTATACATATAGATACTGATATACAGGTACATGGAAATCTCTAGATATCTATATGTATATAGGATTTGCAAAGACCTGCAAACATATGAGGGGGAAAATTCATATATAAAATTAATTTAGATAGATAGATGATAGATAGATAGATAGATAGATAGATAGATAGATAGATAGATAGATAGATAGAGATAGATAGATAGAGTTGCATAGGGATTGCAAAGGCTTGCAGGGGGAAATGCCTATATATCTGTAGGAGAGATTAACAAATATTTGAGGGGGAAATCTATATATATAAAATGCTCTGTGCATAATGAGTACCTTAAGAACAAAAGAACCAATGAACGAAATCACACCAAATTTGGCAAAAAAATGTCTCACAACACAAGGAGTGACCATCATTCAAAAAATTATGATTTTGTCATTTGGGAGTTGTAGTTGCTGGGATTTATAGTTCACCTACAATCAAAGAGCATTCTGAACTCCATCAACGATGGAATTGAACCAAACTTGGCACACAGAATTCACCTGACCGACAGAAAATACTGGAAGGGTATGGTGGGCACTGACCTTGAGTTTTGGAGTTGTAGTTCACCTACATCCAGAGAGAACTGTGGACTCAAACAATGATGGATCTGGACCAAACTTGGCACAAGCACTCAATATGCCCAAATATGAACACAGATGGAGTTTGGGGGAAATAGCCTTGATATTTGGGAGTTGTGGTTATTGGGATTTATAGTTCACCTACTATCAAAGAGTATTCTGAACCCCACGAATGACAGAATCAGGGCAAACTTCCCACACAGAACCCTCATGACCAACAGAAAATACTTAAGGCCATCTAATCCAACTCCCTTCATCAAAGCAAGAAAATGTAATCAAAGTCCTCTGGACAAAGAGCCACCCAGCCATAGATATAGATAGATATAGATAGATAGATAGATGATAGATAGATAGATAGATAGATAGATAGATATAGATAGATAGATATGATTCACACACAGAGAGATATAGTATAGATTTGAAAGGGACCCTTAAAGGAGGACAATGATATGTGGGCAAACCAGACACTCTCCACATCAACATTGACAAAAGAAACAGCCACTGTTTACCCACAAGCATAAAGAAATTACATATATTAGAAACCAACACTTTCTCATTCCTCTATTTTCCAGATCAACAGACTGGGCCACAGCAACGCATGGCCGGGGACAGCTAGTATGTATATAGGATTTGCAAAGACCTGCAAACATATTAGGGGGAAAATTCATATATAAAATTCATTTAGATAGATAGATAGATAGATAGATAGATAGATAGATAGATAGATAGATAGAGATAGATAGAGTTGCATAGGGATTGCAAAGGTTTGCAGGGGGAAATGCCTATATATCTGTAGGAGAGATTAACAAATATTTGAGGGGAAAATTATTTTATAAGATATATATGTGTGTGTGTGTGTGTATAGTTTGCAAAGACTTCAGGAGAAACATGCATATATGACCATCCGGATTCAGAAACTGGATTACATGGCAGTGTAGGTGGACCCGTAGATTCCTTCAGAAAGTGGATTATATGGCAGCGTAGATGGGGCCTCAGTCCTGTATTGCCATCACTTGACTTCAGCAGATGATGTTGTCTGCTGGTATGAGGAGGAAAACCTGGCTTCCATTCAGTGGAATGCCTAGGGGTTCCTTCTCAGGGAGGGAAAAGGATTGGGCTGGCCGTGCCCCAAAGTGGCCAAGAGCTCCACTCCTTTGGGAACCACCCCCTGGTCATGAACATGTCATTCCCTTCCCAAAGCCACCCTGAGGCTTACCTGGGAACGTGGTCCTTCTGGGTCCCGGCAGGTGGCAAAGATCCATTCTGGGCGGTTGCTTCTCTCCGCCAGCTGCCTGACCATCTCAAAACCGATGCCCCGGTTGGACCCGGTCACCAGGATGCTGCGAGCGTTCAGCACGTCCATCTCCTTGCCAGGCCAAGTCCAACGATGAAACTGTGTGCCCGTTCCAGCTGAAGCTCCTGCAAGCCACCTCCCGCCAGGGTTGCATAAGCTTCTCCTTCTGGGCTATCTCACATTTCACATTTTGAAACGATGCCATTTCCACAGCAAGGAGTGCCGTCCAGGAATAGGGTTAAAAGGAAACCGTTCATAGGTGGCATCCAAAGCCCGGGAGCAGAAATGTGTCTCCTGCTTGCCGGAAAAGGTTGCCAAGTTGAAAGGGACATCCTTGCACTGAAAAAGCACACGGGTCTACCTGAGTTTCCAAATCTTCAAGGGTGGGTTTTCTCACATGTCATAGAATCATAGAATCCTAGAATCAAAGAGTTGGAAGAGACCTCGTGGGCCATCATCCAGTCCAACCCCATTCTGCCAAGAAGCAGGAATATTGCATTCAAAGCACCCCTGACAGATGGCCATCCAGCCTCCCCTTAAAAGAGCCTCCACCCCCCTCCGGGGCAGAGAGTTCCACTGCTGAACGGCTCTCACAGTCAGGAAGTTCTTCCTCATGTTCAGGTGGAATCTCCTCTCTTGTAGTTTGAAGCCATTGTTCCATTGCGTCCTAGTCTCCAGGGAAGCAGAAAGGAAGCTTGCTCCCTCCTCCTCCTCCCTGTGGCTTTCTCTCACATATTTATACATGGCCCTCATCATATCTCCTCTCAGCCTTCTCTTCTTCAGGCTAAACATGCCCAGCTCCTTAAGCCGCTCCTCATAGGGCTTGTTCTCCAGACCCTTGATCATTTTAGTCGCCCTCCTCTGGACACATTCCAGCTTGTCAATATCTCTCTTGAATTGTGGTGCCCAGAATTGGACACAATATTCCAGATGTGGTCTAACCAAAGCAGAATAGAGCATGGGGAGCATGACTTCCTTAGATCTAGACACTAGGCTCCTATTGATGCAGGCCAAAATCCCATTGGCTTTTTTTGCCGCCACATCACATTCCTGGCTCATGTTTAACTTGTTGTCCACGAGGACTCCAAGATCTTTTTCACACGTACTGCTCTCGAGTGAGGCGTCCCCCATTCTGTATCTTTGCATTTCGTTTTTCCTGCCATCTGAACGTCAGATATAATCTCCTAGGGCCCTTCCACACAGCCCTATATCCCAGAATATCAAGGCAGGAAATCCCACATGATCTGAGTGTGGACTAAGATAACCCAGTTCAAAGCAGATATTGTGGGATTTTCTGCTTTGATATTCTGGAATATAGGACTGTGTGGAAGGACCCTGAGGCCCCTTCTACACTGCCCTGTAATTCCAGATTATCATGAGGCTGAGCCCAGAAATACATTGCTATTATTATTATTATTATTATTATTATTATTATTATTATTATTATTATCTGAGTCCACACTTAGATCATGTGTGATTTCCTGCCTTGAGATTCTGGGATATGGGCCCTGAGTCCACACTGCCATAAATTCCAGTTTAAAGCAGATAATCTGGAATTATAGGGCAGTGTAGAAGTGTAAAGAGCTGGCATTGCCCATAGACACCTCCAAGGTCATGTGGTCGGTATGACTGCATGAAGTACCGTTACCTTCCCGTTGGGGCGGTACTCAGGAAGTTCAGCAGTTCAGTGATTTAACCTTCCTTTCCTTCAAACTCTATGATTCTATTTTTTTTTCATGTCAGGAGTGACTTGAAAAACTGCAAGTCACTTCTGGTGTGAGGGAATTGGCCGTCTGCAAGCACGTTGCCCAGGAGACACTTGGATGTTTTGATGTTTTACCAACCTTGTGGGTGGCTTCTCTCATGTCCCCGCATCAGGAGCTGGAGCTGGTAGAGGGAGCTCAGCTGCGCTCTCCCCGGATTTGAACCTCTGACCTGTCAGTCTTCAGTCCTGTCAGCACAAGGGTTTAACCCATTGCGCTACCAGAGGCTCCTTATGATTCTATGATTCCATACTTTCTGCATGTTTCTTTGTCCTAAACTGAATCATAGCCTTTTTATTCTTGGCATCTCATACATCTCGATAGTAGGCATGGTTAGATACCATTGGAATCTTCGTAATTCAGACTAATTTCGGAAAAATTACCTTTTTGAAAGGATTTTGAATATTTTTAGGAAACCGGAAGTCCCTTTGCCCTTCCGAAGCTAGTCTCTCCATTTTTCTTCCGACTCAAAAAGTGAGTCGGAAATGATTCAGCTTCCCCCGCTTCTGGTCTCTGGCCTCGGCTCAAGCCAGAGAAGCCAGTTTTAAACCAGAGAAGGAAGGAATTCCCTCCGTTTGCTTTTCCCGCTTCAGGCTCAAGCCAGAGAAGCCAGTTTTAAACCAGAGAAGGAAGGAATTCCCTCCGTTTGCTTTTCCCGCTTCAGGCTCGAGCCAGAGAAGCCAGTTTTAAACCAGAGAAGGAAGGAATTCCCTCCGTTTGCTTTTCCCGCTTCAGGCTCGAGCCAGAGAAGCCAGTTTTAAACCAGAGAAGGAAGGAATTCCCTCCGTTTGCTTTTCCCGCTTCAGGCTCAAGCCAGAGAAGCCAGTTTTAAACCAGAGAAGGAAGGAATTCCCTCCGTTTGCTTTTCCCGCTTCAGGCTCGAGCCAGAGAAGCCAGTTTTAAACCAGAGAAGGAAGGAATTCCCTCCGTTTGCTTTTCCCGCTTCAGGCTCGAGCCAGAGAAGCCAGTTTTAAACCAGAGAAGGAAGGAATTCCCTCCGTTTGCTTTTCCCGCTTCAGGCTCGAGCCAGAGAAGCCAGTTTTAAACCAGAGAAGGAAGGAATTCCCTCCGTTTGCTTTTCCCGCTTCAGGCTCGAGCCAGAGAAGCCAGTTTTAAACCAGAGAAGGAAGGAATTCCCTCCGTTTGCTTTTCCCGCTTCAGGCTCGAGCCAGAGAAGCCAGTTTTAAACCAGAGAAGGAAGGAATTCCCTCCGTTTGCTTTTCCCGCTTCAGGCTCGAGCCAGAGAAGCCAGTTTTAAACCAGAGAAGGAAGGAATTCCCTCCGTTTGCTTTTCCCGCTTCAGGCTCGAGCCAGAGAAGCCAGTTTTAAACCAGAGAAGGAAGGAATTCCCTCCGTTTGCTTTTCCCGCTTCAGGCTCGAGCCAGAGAAGGCAGTTTTAAACCAGAGAAGGAAGGAATTCCCTCCGTTTGCTTTTCCCGCTTCAGGCTCGAGCCAGAGAAGCCAGTTTTAAACCAGAGAAGGAAGGAATTCCCTCCGTTTGCTTTTCCCGCTTCAGGCTCGAGCCAGAGAAGCCAGTTTTAAACCAGAGAAGGAAGGAATTCCCTCCGTTTGCTTTTCCCGCTTCAGGCTCGAGCCAGAGAAGCCAGTTTTAAACCAGAGAAGGAAGGAATTCCCTCCGTTTGCTTTTCCCGCTTCAGGCTCGAGCCAGAGAAGCCAGTTTTAAACCAGAGAAGGAAGGAATTCCCTCCGTTTGCTTTTCCCGCTTCAGGCTCGAGCCAGAGAAGGCAGTTTTAAACCAGAGAAGGAAGGAATTCCCTCCGTTTGCTTTTCCCGCTTCAGGCTCGAGCCAGAGAAGCCAGTTTTAAACCAGAGAAGGAAGGAATTCCCTCCGTTTGCTTTTCCCGCTTCAGGCTCGAGCCAGAGAAGCCAGTTTTAAACCAGAGAAGGAAGGAATTCCCTCCGTTTGCTTTTCCCGCTTCAGGCTCGAGCCAGAGAAGCCAGTTTTAAACCAGAGAAGGAAGGAATTCCCTCCGTTTGCTTTTCCCGCTTCAGGCTCAAGCCAGAGAAGCCAGTTTTAAACCAGAGAAGGAAGGAATTCCCTCCGTTTGCTTTTCCCGCTTCAGGCTCGAGCCAGAGAAGCCAGTTTTAAACCAGAGAAGGAAGGAATTCCCTCCGTTTGCTTTTCCCGCTTCAGGCTCGAGCCAGAGAAGCCAGTTTTAAACCAGAGAAGGAAGGAATTCCCTCCGTTTGCTTTTCCCGCTTCAGGCTCGAGCCAGAGAAGCCAGTTTTAAACCAGAGAAGGAAGGAATTCCCTCCGTTTGCTTTTCCCGCTTCAGGCTCGAGCCAGAGAAGCCAGTTTTAAACCAGAGAAGGAAGGAATTCCCTCCGTTTGCTTTTCCCGCTTCAGGCTCGAGCCAGAGAAGCCAGTTTTAAACCAGAGAAGGAAGGAATTCCCTCCGTTTGCTTTTCCCGCTTCAGGCTCGAGCCAGAGAAGCCAGTTTTAAACCAGAGAAGGAAGGAATTCCCTCCGTTTGCTTTTCCCGCTTCAGGCTCGAGCCAGAGAAGCCAGTTTTAAACCAGAGAAGGAAGGAATTCCCTCCGTTTGCTTTTCCCGCTTCAGGCTCGAGCCAGAGAAGCCAGTTTTAAACCAGAGAAGGAAGGAATTCCCTCCGTTTGCTTTTCCCGCTTCAGGCTCGAGCCAGAGAAGCCAGTTTTAAACCAGAGAAGGAAGGAATTCCCTCCGTTTGCTTTTCCCGCTTCAGGCTCGAGCCAGAGAAGCCAGTTTTAAACCAGAGAAGGAAGGAATTCCCTCCGCTTGCTTTTCCCGCTTCAGGCTCAAGCCAGAGAAGGCAGTTTTAAACCAGAGAAGGAAGGAATTTCCTCCGTTTGCTTTTCCCGCTTCAGGCTCAAGCCAGAGAAGCCAGTTTTAAACCAGAGAAGGAAGGAATTCCCTCCGTTTGCTTTTCCCGCTTCAGGCTCGAGCCAGAGAAGCCAGTTTTAAACCAGAGAAGGAAGGAATTCCCTCCGTTTGCTTTTCCCGCTTCAGGCTCGAGCCAGAGAAGCCAGTTTTAAACCAGAGAAGGAAGGAATTCCCTCCGTTTGCTTTTCCCGCTTCAGGCTCGAGCCAGAGAAGCCAGTTTTAAACCAGAGAAGGAAGGAATTCCCTCCGTTTGCTTTTCCCGCTTCAGGCTCGAGCCAGAGAAGCCAGTTTTAAACCAGAGAAGGAAGGAATTCCCTCCGTTTGCTTTTCCCGCTTCAGGCTCGAGCCAGAGAAGCCAGTTTTAAACCAGAGAAGGAAGGAATTCCCTCCGTTTGCTTTTCCCGCTTCAGGCTCGAGCCAGAGAAGCCAGTTTTAAACCAGAGAAGGAAGGAATTCCCTCCGTTTGCTTTTCCCGCTTCAGGCTCGAGCCAGAGAAGCCAGTTTTAAACCAGAGAAGGAAGGAATTCCCTCCGTTTGCTTTTCCCGCTTCAGGCTCGAGCCAGAGAAGCCAGTTTTAAACCAGAGAAGGAAGGAATTCCCTCCGTTTGCTTTTCCCGCTTCAGGCTCGAGCCAGAGAAGCCAGTTTTAAACCAGAGAAGGAAGGAATTCCTCCGTTTGCTTTTCCCGCTTCAGGCTCAAGCCAGAGAAGCCAGTTTTAAACCAGAGAAGGAAGGAATTTCCTCCGCTTGCTTTTCCACTTCAGGCTCGAGCCAGAGAAGCCAGTTTTAAACCAGAGAAGGAAGGAATTTCCTCCGTTTGCTTTTCCCGCTTCAGGCTCGAGCCAGAGAAGCCAGTTTTAAACCAGAGAAGGAAGGAATTCCCTCCGTTTGCTTTTCCCGCTTCAGGCTCGAGCCAGAGAAGCCAGTTTTAAACCAGAGAAGGAAGGAATTCCCTCCGTTTGCTTTTCCCGCTTCAGGCTCGAGCCAGAGAAGCCAGTTTTAAACCAGAGAAGGAAGGAATTCCCTCCGTTTGCTTTTCCCGCTTCAGGCTCAAGCCAGAGAAGCCAGTTTTAAACCAGAGAAGGAAGGAATTCCCTCCGTTTGCTTTTCCCGCTTCAGGCTCGAGCCAGAGAAGCCAGTTTTAAACCAGAGAAGGAAGGAATTCCCTCCGCTTGCTTTTCCCGCTTCAGGCTCAAGCCAGAGAAGGCAGTTTTAAACCAGAGAAGGAAGGAATTTCCTCCGTTTGCTTTTCCCGCTTCAGGCTCAAGCCAGAGAAGCCAGTTTTAAACCAGAGAAGGAAGGAATTCCCTCCGTTTGCTTTTCCCGCTTCAGGCTCAAGCCAGAGAAGCCAGTTTTAAACCAGAGAAGGAAGGAATTCCCTCCGTTTGCTTTTCCCGCTTCAGGCTCGAGCCAGAGAAGCCAGTTTTAAACCAGAGAAGGAAGGAATTCCCTCCGTTTGCTTTTCCCGCTTCAGGCTCGAGCCAGAGAAGCCAGTTTTAAACCAGAGAAGGAAGGAATTCCCTCCGTTTGCTTTTCCCGCTTCAGGCTCGAGCCAGAGAAGCCAGTTTTAAACCAGAGAAGGAAGGAATTCCCTCCGTTTGCTTTTCCCGCTTCAGGCTCGAGCCAGAGAAGCCAGTTTTAAACCAGAGAAGGAAGGAATTCCCTCCGCTTGCTTTTCCCGCTTCAGGCTCAAGCCAGAGAAGGCAGTTTTAAACCAGAGAAGGAAGGAATTTCCTCCGTTTGCTTTTCCCGCTTCAGGCTCAAGCCAGAGAAGCCAGTTTTAAACCAGAGAAGGAAGGAATTTCCTCCGCTTGCTTTTCTTCGCTTCTTGAGTAAAACAACTACTTTCAAAGTAAAGACCACCCAGTGAAACAGGAAATAACACTTTCAAACCATTAGGAAAGGATTCAGAAGTCTCAGAAGTTTTGAAAAGTTTTGAAGATTTTTTTTTCTGTGAAAATCGGAATTGACTTTAGAATCGAACCACCAGTGCCCCTACATCTGAAAAGAGTTTTGAACCCTTTTTTTATCAAACAAGCCTACTAGATAGAGCAGTCATGTAGCAATATGCCTCTCTCTGTGTGCGTATGTTTTTAAATATACTCCCAAGCATTTCCAAGGGACATCACGTCCTTTCTTCCAGGCAAGAATGCAAACCACAGCATTATCGATGTGATTGGCTTTGCCCTGTGCAACCTCCCCTCCCAACCCCACCAAAAAAAGGGACAAGATCACTTGCAAGGATTTCCTGTCTACAGAAGAGATAGAAGGGAGAAGAAGATGTATAATAGTATTTATTGATGAGAAAGCAATAAAGGCAACATCTTGTGGACGGGTGGGTTTTTCCATTGGCAATGGTCAGTTGACTGCGGGATGCAAGTCATGCTGAGTGTCTCACCAGGGAACGGCGTTGCCTTCCCAATTCACAAAAGTCCCGTTCTCTTTCTCTGAGAGATGGGCCAAAGTGTTCAGGATGGCTCCCACACTCTGGTCGACCGTCAGCGGGGTCCGACCCTGCAAAGAGAGATAGGAATAGTGTCGGGATTCCAAAGCAAAATCCTCACTTTGTCACACCCGAGGGCTGAACATAACATAACATACAAAGACATCCCCTTATTCCTCTACATTTATTTTACATCAGTCATTCTCAGTCACAGTTGACTCGTGCGCCAACTGCGACCATACCTCGTAAAGGCTGATCTGGCCGGCGTGGTCCATGCCTTGGTCACCTCCAGATTGCACTACTGTAATGCGCTCTACGTGGGGCTGCCCTTGAAAACGGCCTGGAAATTTCAACTGGTCCAAAGGGTGGACTCAAAACAACGATGGATCTGGGCCAAACCTGGCACTGATACTCAATATGCCCAAATGTGAACACTGGTGAAGTTTGGGGGAAAATAGACCTTGACATTTGGGAGTTGTAGTTGCTGGAATTTATACTTCACCTACAAACAAAGAGCATTCTGAACCCACCAATGATAGAATTGGGCCAAATATTCCACACAGAACTCCCATAACCAACAGACATCACTAGAAGGGTTTGGTGAGCATTAACCTTGAGTTTGGGAGTTGTAGTTCACCTACATCCAGAGAGTACTGTGGACTCAAACCATGATGGATCTAGACTACTCTTGGCACAAATATTCAATATGCCCAAATACTCAATATGCCCTTACTGGTGGCGTTTGGGTAAAATAGACCTTCACATTTGGGAATTGTAGTTTCTGGGATTTATATTTCACCTACAATCAAAAAGCATTCTGAACTCCACCAATGATGGAATTGAACCAAACTTGGCACACAGAATTCCCATGACAGTTATATAACCAGATTTAGAAGATTTGGCTGGCATTTAGCATTTGAAATTAGCATTTAGGCTTTAAAACTTATGGCATTTCACATGATAATAATGTATAGTGCAGATTATTTATTTACTTATTTACCATATTTACCCAAAGGCAACACATGTCCTTGCTGGATCACATAAATGAAATATGAAAACTCCTCGTCCACTTAGAACTTTACTGTGGTTTGAGCCAAAGCAAGTAAATGAGTTGCTTCTTTGTTTATTCTGAGTTTCCATTGTGAATGACTTACTGCTGCACTTCCCATGTCTGTCTGCACCCATCCAGGGTGCAAGGCAACGCACAGGATCTTGTCATCTGTATATCCCAGGGACTGGCACTTGGTGAGCATGTTCAGAGCAGCCTAGGAAGGAGAAAGGCCAGACACAAGGAAATTCATTCTGTGCCCTCATCAGACTGAGATGGGAAAACAGAGGTCACCATCCTTTTTGGCATAGTTTTTGTTTATTCTGTGGCTGAGTGCCATCTTTATGTTTTATGTTGTGCCGTTGCACCTGGGGGCTATAACTCTTAGGGGATTGCTTCTTGCCCTCCTTTAGGTTCCAGGTCCCTCTTTCTCAATGGTTGTGAATGCCGGAGCAATCCACAACGCCAGTCCAAATAGCCTATGTTTGAAGACACAGGGTCTTCCTCTGATGCCAAAGAACTGGTATGAAGGTGCTTGAGACTCCTCAACGTCATCTAGGTCAGCCTGAACACGAAGCGTAAGTCTCAAGGGTAAGAACCTCAGAATTGGTGCTGACAGATAACTTAATCAAGGGCTTTTAGAGCCAAGTCTCTCTCTCATGTCCATTTGATGGTGGAATGAAAAAGGAAACACTGTCCTGCTCCAGGAAGAGGTGGAGCCAAATAATTGAGCTGAGGAAGCAATATAACTGGTGCAAACAACATTGATTGACAGCTATAAATAACCAATCGATCCAACTATACATTTACAGGGTAAAAAGGCAAAATCAGGCATGATACAATTCAAATCTTGCAACTTACAGTTCAACATATAGGTGGCACCACTCGTGCCATCACATATGTTTTGGACTGTTGAAACAGCCAGAAAGTAAGTGCTGCTTTAATTAAATTGTTTAACACTAACTGGGTGTTTGTTTGATTCACCTCTGCCAGAAATAACGGCAGAGCCTTGGCAACGTGACACGATCAAGACCAAACCTGGCACACAGAGCCCCCATGACCCACTCTACATACTGGTTTGTCTTGGAAGAGGATGGACCATGGATGATGGGACTTGCATATGGGAATTGTAGTTCACCTGCACCCACTGATCCCAGCTGACATTGGATCTAGACTAAACTTGGAGCACAGACAAACAACACCTTTCTCAAATAACCTGGGCACTGCCAGGTCCCCAAGCTAGTCTATAATAAAGAGATCTCTTTGTCTACATCAAGGGTGGCAAGTTCAGGAGATCCAGTGTCCAATTCCCCACCCACATAACTCGAAGACCATTAGTATCTCCGTACCTTGCTGCAACGGTAAGACAAGGCCTGTACAATATGCCACATTAAAACATTGGTGATGGAGCCGCCTTCGCTGGATATGTTGACGATGGCCGCTTTGCTGCAACTCATCCCTTTCTGGGGACTTTCCTGAGATGCTTTTCTCAACAAGGGCAGGAACGCCTGGAGAAAAAGAAGGGCTCAAGGAGAAGGAAACACTCCGTCATGACAACTGGGCATCTTCTTCACCAGTCAAAGTTTGTTTGAGTGAGAGCGCAAATAAACATAAGAGAAAACGTAGTTTCCAGAGTTTGTGTAGAACTTCTTCAGAGGAAACTACTTGCAGTTATGGTTCCACAAGTGCAACCTCTGCTGCTCTGCCATCTCAATCCAGGAGCATCACTAGCTTGGGTGTCCAGTGGTGCAGCTACTCAAGGTGTCACCCCCTGGACCTCCTCCCAACCAGATCATCTTCACCATACTTGTCCTAGTTTTCATCTTGATCCAGGATAATAGTAGGTCTACCTAAAGTCTCACATTCAGGAAGAACTCTCACAGTCCATTTATTTTCCCAAAAGAAAGGCTTCAGCAAGAAGAAAGTTTTTCTTGCAGGAGAGACCTTAGGACGATCTTACCTGGCTTGTGACAAAAGGCCCGATCACATTGGTCCTGTACACCTCAGCCATGCCTTCTGCTGTCTCTGTCTCCAAAGTGTTGACATTGAGAGTCGCGGCATTGTTGACCAAGAGGTTTAATCCCGTTCCTTTCAGCTGCTCACTGACTCGGGCAGCAGCGCTCTTGATGCTGGATGGCTCAGACGCGTCTAGAGCAACAAAGAGAAGACGCTCAAGGGGAGGAACATGAACCACTTCCCTCCCTGAAAAGACCACTCTGGCCATTGAGCAGCGCTGCTGCAATGCTCTGCAATTCCTATTTCCCTACAGTGTGTCCTCCACAATGGACTTCCCTCAGCAAAGGAGGGAGACAAGATGTATGACCCACCAGATTTGGCACCCAGGAAGGAGGCTTCTTTCAATAGCTCAGTGCAAGCAACTCACATCCATCAAGTGAGGTCTTCCTTGGATCGGTGTTTCTCAACTTGGCGGTCGAGACCCCTGGAAGGGGGGGGGGGATCGTGAGTGGGTGTCAGAGGGTTGCCAAAGACCATCAGCAAACAATGCACACCAAAGTATTTTCTGTTGGTCATGGGATTTCTGTGTGCCAACTTTGGTTCAATTCCATCACTGACGGCATTTCGAATGCTCTTTCATTGTAGGTGAACTATAAATCCCAGCAACTACAACTCCCAAATGTCAAGGTCTATTTTCCCCAAACCCTACCAGTGTTCACATTTGGGCATATTGAGTATTTGTGCCATGTTTGGTCCAGATCCATCATTGTTTGAGTCCTCAGTGCTCTCTGGGTGTAGGTGAACTATGACTCCCAAACTCAAGGCCAATGCCAACCAAACCCTTCCAATATTTTCTGTTGGTCATGGGAGTTCTGTGTGCCAAGTTTGGTTGAATTCCATCATTGGTGGAGTTCAGAATGCTCTTTGATTGCAGGTGAACAATAAATCCCAGCAACTACCACTCTCAAATGTCAAGGTCTATTTTCCCCAAACCCCAGCAGTGTTCACATTTGGGCATAGTGAGTATTTGTCCCAAATTTGGTCCAGATCCATCATTGTTTGAGTCCACAGTGCTCTCTGGATGTAAGTGAACTACAACTCCCAAACTCATGGTCGATGCCCAGCAAACCCTTCCAGTATTTTCTCTTGGTCATGGGAGTTCTGTGTGCCAAGTTTGGTTCAGTTCCATCGTTGGTGGAGTTCAGAATGCTGTTTGATTCTAGGTGATTCTAGGTGAACGGGGAGGCCTGACCAGACCTGATCTCTCCCATTTTTCACACAAAATTTACGTCATACAAAGGTTCTGGGAGTGGACCCCCCTTGCAAGGCACACTTTGACTGAACTGCCTAGTTTTCCCTGGAGATCCTCAAGTTTACCTGATAACATTCCACTCATTGATCCTATTTTATCATTTCAAATCAGATAAGAGGGTTGACTTCAGAGTGAGGTTGGAAGGCAAGCACATACCCAGTTGGATGATCTCCACTTCCTTGTGCTTTGCAGCCAACTCCTTCAGTTTCTGAAAAACATATAAGCAACACTTTGGTTGGATCCAAGCTAATTGGTTGGATTCAAGCTAATGGATCCAAGCTAAACTGGGTCTGAAGCCCCTTCTACACTGCCATTTAATCCAGATAATCAAAGCAGATAATCCACATTATCTGCTTTGAAACTGAATATATGAGTCTACACCAGGTATATGCAAACTTTGGCTGTCTTTCCAGGTGTTGTGGACTTCAACTTCCACCGTTCCTGACAGACTCAGACCCTTTCCTTTTCCCCTTCAGGGAGGTAAGGAGGAAGGAAAGACAAAAGGGAGGGAAGGACGAAAGGATGGAAGGGAAGGACGGATGGGAGGAAGGAGGGAAGGGAAGGAGAGTTTATCTTATTTATATTACATGTAATATTACTAATAATATTTGGATAAGCGAGACTCGACTGTACTGTCAAAATCACAATGATGCAGGAAATAACACTTTCAAGCCAGGAACAGAATGTTTTTCAGATTTTGTTATGTAGTGTGAGCTGTCAACAAGTTGTAAGGACTCGTGTTTCTTTCCCTTGCTTACATAAGTAAGTAATCCCTCAGCAAACGAGAGTCCAAAAGTGGCAGCACCTCAATCAATGCTTGAGACTAAATGAGAGACTCCCCCCGGGCACACAGAGGACTGGGCGATGTGGAAGGCGCTGAACAGACTGCGCTCTGGCACCACGAGATGCAGAGCCAACCTTCAGAAATGGGGCCATAAAGTGGAGTCCACGACATGCGAGTGTGGAGAAGAGCAAACCACTGACCACCTGCTGCAATGCACCCTGAGCCCTTCTGCCACATGATGCACCATGGAGGAGCTCCTTGCGGCAACACCAGAGGCACTCCAAGGGGCCAGATACTGCTCAAAGGACATCTAATCAACTACCAAGCTTGCAAACTTTGTGTTTTGTCTGTCTGTTTGTTTGTTTGTTTGTTTGTAAAAAAAATGCAATACAACTGTTTTGGTTTGCTCCTGACCGCTAAATAAATACTATATATACTTGAGTATAAGCCTAGTTTTTCAGCCCTTTTTTTAAGCTGAAAAAGTCCCCCTCGGCTTATATTCGAGTCAAGGTTATTTATTATTTTCCTCTGTTATTATTTTTATTACATTTATAATTCTACTCTATTATTGTTACATTTATTATTTTACTCTATTAATTATTGTTATTATGTGTATTATTTTACGATATTATTCCTGGTATTATATTATTATTATTATT